TGATTCTAACAACGATCTTAAAAAACTTGGAACAGTGTTGAGAAAAACCGGTGTGAAGTTTTGATTTTTGGTCTAATTTCGAGATGATAAGGCGAGAGTGAAGGCCTACAATAGCTTATTCAAGCTTAAATTAAGCCATGAAAACTTAATTTTTCTCAAATAAAGTTAGTTTTTGGAGTTTTCAGCGCCTTTTTGGAAATCAAAACTAATACACAAATGCAGTCAAGTCATTAAGAAATAAAAAGATACGACGACGAATAAAACATAGATGCTTCACCCTGAAAAAGTCAACCAACCAATTGTGCTACAAACGTTTTTTTTAGTGGGAAGTTTCATGGGTTTTGATCGAGATTCAAACTGAAACACCCAATGTTAAGATTTGAGCAATGACAAAAATTGACAGGGTGCGGATAATACATTGATATGCTACCATTGCCAGCTAATCTTAAAACTTTTAATTGCGAAACACAACTTTTTTAGATACAAAATAACTCAAATTTCGTCCTTTCCATATTCACAAAAATGGAAAAGACGGAAAAACTCGTCCTTTTCCACTTTCACAAATTTTTAAACTTGAATTTTGGCAAAATGAAAACTTCATGCTTTTTTGAGTGGAATCGTACAATCAAAAACTGAATGAGACAAAATTCAACCGCTTTATTTTTTCATAATTCGATAAACACTTGGTTTAATTATTTTGCCTCTGTTTTTATTTGATTCCATCTCATGACTTTGAAAGAAACGTTTTTAAATTCATTTAGTTTTGCAGTAAAAATAAAGGAATTGAAAGGCTGCGAGTCAAACGTCATTCAATCATACTATGACGAATATAGGGGAACACATGCTTCACCCAGAAATAGCCAGCCGATTAATTCTTCGGAGAATTTTTTTTGTGTAGAATTTCCCTGTTTTTGATAGAGGCTGAAACTGCAATCCCCATTGATTAGGTTTGAACAAAGATAAAAATTTTCAGAGTGCTGAAAAAACATTGATATGCTACTATAGAGAGCTAATTGTAAAAATTTTTAACTCAAATTTTTTCAAAGGAATCATAATACCAGAAGATGAACAGAAAAAATTCATTTGTTTTGTTTTTTCATAACTTGAGAAACAATTCTTTCATTTTTTTCTTCTTTTTGATTTTCATTTGATTCATCTCATGGCTTTGAAGAAAAGCATTTTTAAAATCATTTAGTTTTGCAGTAGAAAACAACGGTAATAAACTAGCACGAGTCAAACGCAATTTAACAAGCGTTCAGCAAATTTAAGAGTAAAAGTTTCCAGACTTCAGACATAAACTTATGAAATTTTTTTCATTGCATTTGACTATAAAAAAAATCATCAAGATTGGATGAAATGAAAGATTTTTTGAAGCATTTTCAACGAAAAAGAACATACCTTCCGAGTTCTTCCCTTTTCCAAGATTTTTTGGTGATGAACACATTTTTGATGACTGCGACTGCAACAAAATTTGAGAAAATTGGATTGTATCGTAATTTTTTTGTTACCTTGATAGCATAAAGACTAAGAGCAGCTTCAAAAATTTTCAAAAAATTGAAAAATAAAAAATGCACATGAAAAACTAAATCCATTTCTTTTGATTTTACAAAACCTTATCATATTAAAAGCATAAAGTACTACAAAATAAAGGCTTTCAATAAAAAAAACTTGGGCCAAAACATCACCCAGAAATAGAAAAAGAAAAGACAAAAAACGAATTCCGAAAAAATCAGATCAATGATCATCGCTATAGGGCAGTTACTAACTTTATTTGGCACTATTTTACACCAAAAACGGGAATAAATTGGCAGAAAAAGCAAGGCACTGTTATTTGAAAAAACTAGACGCTGTTAAAGATTCAAATTTTAATAGAGAAGATTCGGTTCAGTAATTCTGTTTTGAGTGATGAATCTAATTCAAAAACCACTATGCGACGAGTTTTGACAGAAAGTGTTCGCGCTGAAATTGTTTTCAAAAACGAGGGTATCAAGGATAAGCAGATAGATTAGTTAAAATGGCATTAAAAGGCCGAAAAATGTTCTCGCATATGGCAGGGTGTTATTTTTACGTAAGCCGCATTCGATTAATCAGCGATGGCACAGCAAGATTTTTTCGATAGTAAAGAAGAAAAATTTTATTTGAATAAATACAAAAAACAGTTAACTCAGCTAAAAAAATGCTAAAAATTTTCGGGCGCGTTCAAACCTAGAGCAACACTTCTTCTAACGCCTTGTTATTGTTCCGACCATTAAAAAAAAGGAAAAATATTGTATTCCTGTCTAATTTAATTTTTTTCTTTTTGTTTTCCACGCAAATCAGTCAGTATAATTAATCGGAATCGGTCGATTGATATATCAAGTTGAACCCTTTCAAAAGTGATTGAAACGACTTTAAAAAACTTTGAAAATTGTTGAGAAAAACCGGTGTGAAATTTTGATTTTTGGTATAATTTCGAGATGATAAGGCGAGAGTGAAGGCCTAAAATAGCTTACTCAAGCTTAAATTAAGCCATTAAAATTCAATTTTTCTCAAATAAAGTTAGTTTTTGGAGTTTTCAGAGCCTTTTTGGGAATCAAAAATTCAAAAAAAAATTGTGCAAAATAGAAAAAAAAATTTGAAAGTTTTCAAAATTGTTATTAATTTTTTTTTAGTTTTTTTTTGCCATTTTCCTGTAAAAATTGGTTTCCGACGGGCCTTTTTGACTATGAATGTTGCATTTGCTTATTTTGCATAATGTTGCATAAACAAGAACTTTATGGGCAAACTATAAAATAAGTTAACTGAGCTAAAAAGTCGCTTAAACTTTCGGGTGTGTTCAAGTTCAAACAGTCCAAGAGCAACAGTCCTTCTGAAATTGTCAACCAAGACAAACAGTACAAATTATTTCGCAATTTCCCAAAAAAAATGAAAGAAAATGTGCACTTTTCTCCAATGATTTTACACGCGGAAAAACCCCCGATACACAAAGCGCAAAAGGTCGGCAGACTAAATTGAAAAAATGAGACAATGTAATACAATTGCCACTGCGCAGTCCGGACTAGTCCTTATCGAGAAATTTTGCAGCATTTTGTAACGCTTCCAGAATATTGGTAAAAGTGAGAATTATATCAAACAAATCATCTAGAATGCAAAGTTGTTTAAAACATAACAAACCTAAAAGTGCCAGTTACTTATTGTATTTTTCGTTTGAAAGAAAGCTTGCTTGAAACATTTTTTTTGTCAAATTGGACCAAGTTTTTCTTTTGTTTTGTGTACAATTAAGTGTGAATCAACGAAAAAAAAAATCAAAAAATTGTCAAAAGTCAGGATTAAGTTCAATTCAAGATCTATTTTCAAGAGCATATTTGGTAGCGATAAGATAAGCTGAGAAAAATACACCATGTAATAAGTGTTCAATAAGTGTTCTGATATTACTCGTCATGCCCAACTCGGGTAGTCCAGTCAAGTCACTCAAAATTAAAAAGATACGACGACGAATAAAAGAAATACATGCTTCACCCAGAAATAGTCAACTGACCAGTTTTGCCTAAAAAAACTATTTTCTTAGTGAAAAATTTCATGGTGTTTGATCAAGATTCAATCTGAAACAACCACTGTTTAGATTTGAGCAATGACAAAAAATTTCAGGATGCTGAAAACAAATTGATATGCTACCATTGCGAGCTAATCGTTTAACTTTTAATTGCAAAACTTCATTCTTATCTTTGAGCAGTTTGTATTTTTCTCGCTGATACTGTTCTTTTCCCAAGACTTTCTTTTTAAAAAAATAAGCTCAGAAAAATTTGAGTTTCGTTCAACTTGCAATTAAAATTTCATACCTGTGATTCACATATAAGTGTTCATTATACAAAGAGTAGACATTATCCTTTCGCTAATGTGGATATATTTCTTCTCATTCCACTTCAAAAACTTGACCCAAGCGATCAAAATATTCGTGAAAAAGGGAAATGTAAATGCAGGATATGATACTCTAATTATTGCTTTACTGCGGCTTCGAGAAAGACGAATCGTAAATGAAAAAAAAATGAAAATCAGCTCGAATTTTTTTTTAAGTAATTACCATAAGAAAATAAACGAAAAGATCTTTACAGTCTAGGGAAAAAAACTCGAATAAAATCAATCTGAAATGGCATCGCCTTTGGTCATTATTTTGCTCTTATCAGTTAAAAAGACACTGGCACTTAATATGGTTATCAACCTGATGAGCTCACCTGAAGTACCGCGAACAAGTTTTTGAACAGAAAAAATACGAGAAACAGGTTGCAACACCCTGGCTAATCGCTGGAATGAAAACACCACGCGATTTGAAAAAAACCTTTATTCTTCCATGAACACTTGATAAGGTAGGCATTCAATAGACAATTGGAAAAGTCTGATTGAATTCAACGAGACCAAAACAATTACTCTATCTCATGAAATAAGAAAACAACAACACGCGACCCAAATATGCTCACTTCGCTCATTGATTTAAAAAATAAATAGACTCAGGATTAAGATGTTGTCTTTTACCATCCACTTTCTTGGTACAAATTAGCCAGAAAAGCAAGAACTCGGATCAGTTTTTCTATCTACATAACTTCCTTTTTTACACAGAGGCGAAGCTTCGTTTCGCAAACACTAGCGAGAACACGACAAAAAGCAGCTCTATAAATTGCAATGAGAAAAATTAGAATTAGTTTAAAAAATTCGTCTACATCTGCGATTCGAACCAGCGACCTTGAGATTAGGAGTCTCACATACTTACGACTCAGCCACAGAAGCTTCTTAGGTACCTACCACTAGCCACGAATAAAGCAGAGAACAGATGCTATGCAATTTCCAATGCTACAGTGAAACTTCCCAATAAGTGAACAGTTTGATTTGCGAGTAAGGTTAAAAAAAGAAGGTTCGTAATGATACCAAGCTGATCGCAAGAGTAAACAAATCCGAACAACGGCTGAAGGGCTCTTCTATGCTAGCACGCTGTTTCGCAAGGGTTTGCTTTGAGGTAGATAAAAGCGTTGAAGAAACAACAGGCCATATTCCGACCTTTTATTTGAGCAGTCCCTATGTGAATAGCATACAAAAACAAGAGCTATTTGATTATGAACTGAAGAAATAAAGCATATAATATCCACAAATGGAAGTAACTAAGTAATTACAGCGTTTAAACAGTACTTTATCTACAGGTTTAAACACTGTTCATACGAGCCTCTCCAATGAAATTCCAAAAATATCATGATGGTTAATGATTCAAATCGTCACATCCAACAAAATGCTAATTTCATCAGACCAGGCTGTATTTCACACACCGATGCAAGTTTCTGAGTTTCCTACGGAGCACAGCTTAGTCGCATTTGTCACTCGAAGTTTCATTAGCACAATAGTAACATCACTTCTTGTGCAGAGGTTGTCCAATGTCCTTCCCTCGCAATTTCACACCTGTACAAATAAATTAACACAATTTTCACTTCAGACAGAAAATTTGATTTAGAGCACATTACCTTGCAAAAAAACTAGCCGATCGAAGATTGGAAAAGATTTATGAACCCAAGTAAACATACAAAAAACAGACTTTGTTGAAAAAATCTCAACTGTCGGAGAAAAAATAGCTGCCCTTTAAGCTCTTTGAACTTCTAGAACGATTTATGGCTGGCTCTTTTTTGATAACATTAACCCAATTTGAGAAAACTGGATCAACAGGTGAAGTTTTTATTCCGCTGGAAATCTAAAAATTAAATTCCACTTTCGAAACTAGAAATTGTTTACATATTTTTGCGCCAATTCCACGTTCGTATTTGGAAAGTGCTTTTTCCGACAGTTTCAGCAGATGAAATTCAATTGAACTCCTAAAGTGCATATATATCTAAGTGCATTCAGAAATGCACCAATATGTATGAATGCACATCTGTAGTTATTAGAGCACTTAAAGACTTTTTCCTGATAAAAAAAAACAAACAAATCACTAGGACCTATACAAGAGTCTTCACTCCGTTCATTACTCTTAACAAAAACTAGGCGAAGAAGCCCTTCCAAAACCTTTCTGAAAGCTAGTTCCACAATCAGCCACATAGTTGAACATGAACAGCAACAAGAATTAATCGGAAAAATGTAACATCACTGAATCAGTTGTAGGAAAGCATTATTTAGGGGGCTAGGTATTTTACCAGACCGACCTTTTACCAGCCCGATATTGTACCAGACCACAATGCAATAACTCAATTAAGACAACTTTAAATAAGTGGAAGATTTGAAAAGGAAGCGGTTAGAACAAACAAAACTTCGCTGAGAAACCGTGAAAACATTGTCTTCAACCAGACTAAATGGCGCCATTACATCTGTCAATCAAATTTGTTTATCGAGTCTGGTAAAAAAAAGTCCATGTTATAACTTTTCTGGTAAAAAGTCGGTCCCTATTATTTAGCCTCTCTATAACATCCTGTTTTCATGATAGGATTGCCGCAGGGAGCAAGAAGAACAGGAAAAAAACATAAAACTAACTCAATAAGAGATTACTAAGCGGTTATCAGCAGGCCCCGGATTTAAGTTAAATAACTTTTTTTTGCAGTAACTAACTATTTCTAAGAAAATGGAGGAAATGAACTAATCAGAGAGATGCGCTTTATTTTACCTATTTCTGTTGTATACCGACAGTATTTCAAAAACCAAATGCTAACATTGATACCTTTACTAAATATTTCCTTTCTTTCATTTAATTCAAATCTGGGGCCTAGTTATCAGCTTGGCAAAGAAAAACGGATAGACGAAGAATAATTTATCAACCTTAGAATTTTTACGATTCGCAAAGGCAACCGCGTTACCTCTAGACCAAGTGGGAAGGAGCCTGGAAGTTGGTGAGGTTCATAACAAAGCAATTGCATTTTCTTATAGATTTGTAAGAAAAGTTGTTTACAGGAAACAATCTGATCCCGACTAAAAGACACTCGCTCTCACAAGTGTTACAACCTACTTTCGAAACTTCGAAACAAAGCGATTCACGTAAGAGTCCCCTGATATTAGAACGAACAACACTTGCACTTGCAACTACAATGAAAATTGTGTCTACAGCACAAGCTAAATCTGTTGTGACAATAAAGCCGACAAAACTTGAGCGAACAAAGGGAAACCAACAATTCATTTTTCTCGGATTTTTTATCCATTTCCTTGATCTTAAAAAACAAGGTCCGGCCACGACTCGAAAACCCCAGACATTAGGGTACAAGGCAACTGATTAACCTCCAGGCCAAGTGAAAGAAATTTGGAATGTTAATAAAATGGAATATAACTGAAATGAAGTCAGCTGCATAGAAAAGAAGTCAGCTGCCTTTTCCTACTCCTGAGCAAGTGATTCAACTGATTTTGTTAAACTAGTTGTTAACCAGAAAAAAGTCTATATTCCAGTTTGATACCGCTTGGCGTAACAATTAACCATAAGGAGCAATGCCATTTTTGCTATGCGAGGAAAACTGTGGGTTGCTTAGCCTTTGCTTTCTCAGAAGAAATAAATCAAAGAAAAGAAAAAATCTCCGCCAAATTAACATCCAGCCAACAAACACATTGATCTAACTTTATTTTATCTTGTCTAACCTAGAGTCCTTTCCAATTTTCCAAGCACTTGTTGATTGGGCACCGCTTTGCATGATTCGTATTCATTGATGACCGATTGCTTCTCGTTTACTTTCTAAACAATTAATACTTCACTCATTATACAAATTAAATGTTCGCGAGCAATCTTATGTAAAGATTTGTATTTATATAACCATCTGAAGCATTGAACTGACCGTGGCTAGGTCTTTCTGAGACCACTCCTTTGCAGCCCTCGCCTGTTGAATGGCCTTTGCAACGGTTAGAGGCACTTTGTCCACTTAAACAAAGCACGCGAATAAAAAACAGCAAAGACAGTTGAGTTAGAAAAACGCCGAGGCCAGGGAGACCATTTTTTTTCTCTAAATTTCCATTTTTCTAAGTATGAATCATTCAAGTCTTTACCCACCATTTGCGCTTTCGTTAATGCAAAGCGTAATTTGCATTCCTTCAAAGAAATGAAACTCAATTGAGTTTAGGAAGAAATCAAAAATCAAGCCGCGAAAAATCAAATTTAAATGTGAATAAATTCAAGACTTTTTCCTGAAAAAAAAACACGGCCCAGATACGTGTCTTTACTTCGTTCATTAACACTACACGACCTAAATAAGTGTTTTTTTGTTAATGGACGATTGACACTTAAACATCCAACTTATGGACAAAAAGGAAGTTGCTGAAAACACACCCGAGAGCTTGAACAGTTTCGGGGTCAAATGGGTTTCGCAAATGAGCCTCGCATAATCTATTTTTAAATTTACGAACAGAGAATTACCACTTCTTTACGATACAACGCAGTAAGACCGTAGTTAGGAGATTCTCCATGTTGGTTGGACATAATTTGATGCTACTTTGAAACAAGTGTAAAATTGGCTACTTACCTTTCAACTCTTCAGTTTCCCTGTCTAGCTTAGCTGTGTTTTTCGAGGTTGCGTGCTGAGCGTTCGAACCTCCGCCGTCTAAAAATGTAGCATAATTATCAAATCACATCATAGAAAAACATTAAATAACGAATGAAGTTCAAGAATTTCTTCTATTCCAACAAGAACTTCTAACATTTTTTTTCAGTAGCAACTTCCATCCCAGTTCGCATGGCTGCGTTGACAGCCTAAAACAAGAAAGTTGACAATTATATTTCAATTCTTTTATAAAACTGTCTCAGGTCACAAAAAAACGAAGCCGCGCCGGATAACCCTTTATAATCTTCACACCTTTCATACTCGATTGGTGCGACGAAAGTAAGAACTCTTGAAATTACTTTTCTGTCGTCTGAAGAGCCGCAGGTTGTTACATATTTATATCAAATAAATCAATTAAAAGCCATAAACAAAACCAATTTGCTTTCTATTACAGAAATTCACGAGTTCAACACCAAAATTAAGCGAGTCTTCGAGAGCTCATTTAAAAATTATGGGATGTTGCTTAGCTTCATGCTGCTCTGATCCAAACGCAGATATATTCAACAACTCGTATATAAAGCTTGCTATAGAGGTATGCCTAGAATTTAACATTGAATTTTCAGAATTTAAACAAATTTTAGTCTCATTGATTCCAAATTTGCAATGCAGATAGGCAATCATAAATTTAGTCACGGTGAATCGAAATAGTTTTGTCAAGTTCAGATCATCATGATGTGCCGATATTTAACACCTCGCTGCAAGACAATATAGGGACACATTTTGTTTGTTTTAGATAAAGAATCCAAACGGCAAAATCAAAACAATAGGATTGAAGCCAATGCAGGCACGGGCACTACACATTTCTGAAAAAACGCCGATTGAAATTCGGATCTATTACCTGGAGGTGGGCAATTCGTTTTAGCCTCGACTAGTTAAAAAATTGATTAAATTAAAAATTAGTTGTTTCAGATTTCAACCGGCGAAGTAAAACTACTCGAACACTATTTGGCCTCCGGAACCAGACTAGTTTTCGAGCATGCAAATTCAACTTCTTATGGGTTATTTGTAACAAACTATTTCATGGACGAAATGGACATGGAATCCCAAAATGTTTTCACTCGGGTGGCTGGCAACAACAAGGGCTACAGAGAACAAAACAAGATAACTCAGCTACACTTTTAAATGAAATTTATGGAAAATGAAATCAAAAATTTTAAGTAGAAATTATAGCTTGAAAGTCAAGTGAAGTAAGAAGAGGTAAAAATACCCGGTTGCTCTGCACTTAGCACAGAAAGAGCCGGCTAGTTTCCATGGTTATCTAAATAATATTGCGTCGCTCAGCGGCAGCACTCACGCCACGAACAGGCGCAACTAATCTGATATCAATTCAACTTTCCAAACTGAAAGAAATGAACAGCTGCAATAGAAATGCATGAATTTACATTATGAACAGCTGCAATAGCAAATCTATTTACGTTAACTTCCAAGCTACTTGATATTTTTGTGGGCTAAACTGGGATTCTGAAAGAAAAACAGCTGCGAAGCGGAAATCCTGCGAGTCAATGACCACAATGGAATTAAGATCAAACAAACTTAAAACGTCATTAAAAGCTCAAGAAAGCACCAGAACAACTAAAACCCCCACAAACTGAAAAAAAAACATCACAAAAATTATAAGAAAAAATTCCCATGACAGAAGTCAGATACTTAAGCAACAGAAGCTGCTGCAAAAACCGAGAAAGAAACCTTCCTGCATCATTTTACAAATTGGCTTCTTTATCAGCGGCCCTTTGGCCAAAGCCGTGCTGAAATTAAAAGTCAATGCAATATTCAGCCGACTAAACAAATCAAACTCGTAATACACAAGACGTAATAGACGACCTCGGACAATCTTTATAAAATGCGACAAAACTGGCAAAAACAGGTAAATCTTTCGGCTTTGGTAGTAATCACTTGGTTTTGACAGCCAAGTCTTGATTCTATATATTTCTGTTTGCCTAAAAGTTCCATTAACTATCATTTTCAATGAGTTTAGCAAGTAGCGGTGCGGCCGATAAGTTTTGCTTCAAAGATATCAACTATATTGACAGAAAAAAAAAACAGTAAACAACGTACCTTGTGTTTACATGCCTTGAAAAAATCAGATAAAAATAGACAGAGAAGGGTAAACACTAGACACAGACGTTATTTTAAACAGTTATGAAGCCAAAAAAAAAACAATTTTATTCCAAAAAAACTCGATCACACACACACAAAAAAAAAGAAAATTAGATAGCTCAGTGGAACTAGAAACATTAGAATCACAAAGAACTCAAAACCCTGAGCAAAGTCGAAATCACGAAAACGTTTTGAATATCAGCAAGCCTTAGAAAAAAGAACAATATCAATGAACGAAAAGTCAAATTTTCTATACGACACAGAATGATCTTTTTATGTATAATTAAAATATCAAAGAAAAGAAACAAAGGAGTAATATTATAAACTGTAAAAAAATGGTTACAAAAGTGATATTGAACACCATTTTGATTGGAAACCACCTCAGGCGTGCAAAACGCTGGGCCATCAATTAAAACGGCTAGCGGACTTTACACAGAATGGACTAGAAAACAGTTTGACAAAAAAACTAATCGATAAATTATTTTTAAAAATCACCAAACTTCAAGGGCTCAATTACCTGCTTCAAAAATATATGACTACTCAACAAAGGGTGAAGAACATTTTGTGCTTCGTTATTTTTGTGAAACAAGCTGACAAAAGACAAAATTTTTGTAAAACAAAATATGGAACATATTTCATTTCATCAAATGTTCGCTCAATTTTTTCAAAAAACCCGTCGGCCAACAAATAGTTAAGATTATTTTCAGCAAGCTAACTTTTCTAAACCCATTTGAAAAGACTTTTGGTTTTTCAATTTTTTCCAAGTAAGAGGGCATGTGAGGTAGACTTTTATATTTTGGAAACTTCATATACGTTTTTATCACTTTCAAATTATATCGGGGTTAATTGAAACAAAGAACCCACAGATCATCCAATATATTAATTCTCCTCATAGAGATGTCCTATAATGTCAAAACTAGATCTATTAAAATGAACGAAGCTAGCTTTTTAAAAAAAAAACATACCATGACAATAGAAGAAGAAATTAGAATTGGAAAAAACTTACCAAGGGGAACAAAGCCAAAACTATCTGAGCAAAAACCTTTTACATCAAAAAAACAAAAAATGGAAAACTTATTAAAAAACTTCAATTCCCCCTCCAACAAAACAGACACACGCATACGAAAACTTTTTTCGCTTATCAAACGACGCAATGAGGCCACTGCCGACGGACGCCATGGTTTGTCCTGCAAAAAGAGCTCATTGCAATTTCCCAGGCATTCAATGATCAACGACATCATGAAACGAGCACTCATTTCTGCAGGCGTACCTTCTCAGCTTGAACCTGTTCGTCTAAACAGCCAATAGCGTTACCATGGTTCAGAGGTGTAAAATTAGCACGGGGTTCCACAGTAGTTAAAGCCTGGCCCCCAGCAACATACTACAAAGCTCCAACCACCCAGGGTCTACGGTGATTGCCGCTGAATAATGAAAGACCATTAAATATCAAGAACTCACGGACAGGGGCAACATATTCCACCCGATAGATTTTGAACTCTTAATCAAGGAAACTCAAAACAAAAAGGCATAGTCAGCTTATTCAGAAAGACTGTTCATCGCAATTCAGATGGGCAACTCAGCCTCCGTTATGGGTACACTACCCGAACAATGCAGAGAACAGCTCACTTTGGAATAGATTTCCCATACATTCCGCTTCTTTTACTTTACAGCTTCTATTGTATATATTTACAATCGTCTATCTTCTTAGCAGGTTTTCTCATTAGGTGGATGCAAGGAACGTTTCTCGAAAAAAAATGAAGGCAAGTTTGACGAAGCTACAAGAAACACTTCGGGAGATGATTCTGTTGTCGGAAAAATTACTTGAAGCTCGTTAGCTCATCATGATTTGTTTATATTCTAATAGCGTGTGACACTTGTCAGAGGCTTCAAAATTTTGACAGCTCACAAGAATCCATATATTGGATATAGGATGTGCATCCTTTGAGTGTACTCTGATAGCACCCAATTGCAGGGCTGCTAGTCTCCAATTTTGTTTGTCAAAAAAAAAAAATTCATCAGTTTATTGAAAAATTTTGAAATAACACAAAAAAGCCACATTTCGGAAACTAAAAGAAATTGAGTAGTCGTTTTTGCAAATTCTGAGAGTACTATCACAGTAACCAACTACAGTGTTGGGAATTTCAAATTTCCAGAAACTTCAAATTTAAGTTTTCTAAAAAACCATAAAAAATCGCCGTATCTCGACAACTACAAAGATGTGAGCACTCATATTTAGAGGCAAGATTCGCAACCCCTGAGAGTACTCTGGCAACCCCTAGATGCATGGTTAGGAAACCAAATTTAAAAAATTTCAAGTTAAGTTTTCTGAACATTTTTAGAAAAAATATCAAAAAACGTCATATCTGGAAAGCTACATACAGTTGCGCAATCATATTTAGAGGCAAAACTCACAACTCCTGAGCCTCATTATAGAGATAGGAATTTTGATTTTTAAGACAATTTGGACATCTATTTTCAAAGAGATATCAAAATAGATATCCAAATTAAAAATCAAAGTTCCTATCTCTTTGAACAATTTTAAAACAAGAAATAACAAACGTCACATCTCGGAAAGTACACAGAGTACCCTCATAGAACACAACTACAAGGTTGGGAATTTCTAATCTTTTGGATTTATTCAAACTTTTTAGAAACTTTTTTTTAAAAAGTCATAAAAAATACGTCATATCGAAAACTACAAGGATTTGAGTCCTCATATTTGGAGGCAAGATTCGCAATCATGGAGCGTACGCTTACAGCACCCAACTACACGGTTGGGAGTTTCCAATTTATTAATTTGTTTTTTAATTTAAGTTTTAAAATAAAAATCACAAAAATAGTCGTATCTCGTTAACTTAAAAGGATTTGGACATTCATAATTGGAGGCAAAAATCGCAACTCCTGGGGCAGCCCTGAAAGCATTCCACTATTCGGTTGCTTATTTTACACTTGGTGAAAACTGGAAAATCTAAAAAAAATCTTAACCATTGCAATTAACGATATAGCTTAAACGTGAAAAATTTCTTTCGTTAAACATGCAAAAACAATACGTTGAAAAGCGTGAACATGGCGAGACAGTGAAGCCCACATTTAACACAGAAGCAAGCAGCGCTTCGCAAACACTTGCAGACATGGCCAAAAATCAGCTCTATCGAGTGACATACGAAGAAGTTGAAAAAGACTCGAAATTGCAAAAACAAGAGGGTAAGCAAAAACTCTAGTAGCAAAAATCTGCGACCTAGCAAATTTGAGTCTCGCGCACTTACCATTCAGCCACGGATGCTTAAAATCCCCAAAAACTAGCCATCAAAAACGCAGCTACATATGCTTATAAATTGCCAACTCGATGCTGCAAAAGTATAACCAAATACAAAAAGATACGTTTTGCATGTAACAAATCGTGGCCACATTATGTATAAAAACTAAGTATTTCGAAAAATTTCTAGATATTTTGAGTTAGGGTGAGTTAAAACGTTCCTGAAATCGGTTATTATTAACGTTGTTGTTTGAAGCAAATAGCTTTCTTCGGTTCACTTGATGAATTAAAAAATCAGCAACTGTGTAAACTAATCGAATATCAAAGCACATATTATCAATAAGCTGTAAAGGTGCAACATATTGCAAATTCGATGCAGCAAATGTTGCTTAAATTCGCAACAATATTTACGACTTTAACGCAACAATATTTGCGACTCAGGTTGGAAAAAAAGGAAGTTCGTATTATAACACTTTTCTTCGCAAGTAAAAACATATCATAGAAGAATAAATCTAATTTTTAAATTTTTGTTGTATTATGAAAGTTCTGAATTTGGTAGAAAAACTTGTGCCAGTCGGTCATATCCTGAAGTTTTACCTTGTTTTTGGGATGAAATAGTATTTTTTATTCGATATGGCCATGTCATGCTCAAGGTTATCGCAGCAACTGAAATGAAATGGTCAAGAAAATAATTGCTCAGGAGTTCATAATTGCGCGAAAGTGGACCACAAATCGGAACTAGTCAAACGACTATTCGCAATTTCAACTATTTATAATCTAGTCGAGCAGAGCTGTCTTGCTCCTGATAGAGGGCATCGAGAGTGATTGCGAGTGCTATTAGTGGAGCAAGGAACATCTTGATTGGGCAAGTCGACCAGTGAAGAGATCAAATGGTCCGAAAAGAAAAACTGCTTGAATTAAAACTAACTACTTTATAAAAGCTCTTGAGTTGTCTCGGTTTCGTTATTTAATCAATTCCAGAGCCGTTGTCAATATGTGAGTACTGAATTGAAAATCTTTAGTGTATTTTATAGAGTTATGTTGAGATAAGGCGGGTTTTAGGCTGATCCATCTAAAATGGAGATCTTCACTGTCCAAAAAAAACTAAAGGTTTTACTTGAATTTTTGAGTTTCCAACCCTGTTTTTAACAGCGTTCGCGTGTTTTAGGTATTTAGATACCTAGCCATGGGGACGTGCTTACTTCTAGAGTGGGGGGTATTGAGGTAGTACCCTTTAAGCTGTAGCACGATCTTGAAATCCCATGTCTTAAGCGAACCGAATTGGCTCCAACAGAATGAGGTGCAAAAACACAAGAGGTAGTGTCCCTGACCCTTGAGCGAATGGTTATAGGGTCTATTTCTCTTAACCTCATATGTGACGTAAGAGGACGACTGTTATAATTAATCTCTCGATAATTTTCCGGTTCAGAAAAATTCAGAAAAAACTTACAGCAATTTTTTCCATTAATTATCCGAAAATCATATATTGGAAAAGCGTTTAAATGGTAGAATAAAGTTGCCAGCATTTGAAAACACAACTTATAGAAGAAGTTTACATCCAGTACTAATCAAACGGAATGTCAAAGAAGTCAAAAACTGAATCAGGAAGAGAAGTCGTTTTTGTTTTTCCTAAAGTCTGGTTGAAATTACTAACCTTTGTCGACTTCGTATCGGCTGGTTTTCGTTTGCTTATCACAACGTCCTCCCATTGATTTTCAACCGCACCAGGATTCAATGCCATTTTTATTCACTTCTAATTCTGTCTGGCAAGACAGTACAGATACTCTAAAATAAACACAACTTGAAACGAAACATTTTTTGTGGGACATGAAAATTGCCCCGATAATCAAGGCAAATCATTAAAATAGGAGAAACAGGGAAACATTTTAAGCGAAAAAGCTTTTCATATATTACAAGAAAGAATTAAGGAATAGCTGCATTCAATGATCAAGACCATTCCAGCCTTATGAAAACAAAAACTTAGATAACCGCATCTGGAAAAAGTAGCATAGATTCAGTATTTTTATTTCATGTAAGGAAATTCAATGTAGAGAACAAAAATCACAAACTAACGCTGGGGAGTTTTGATGTACCAAAAAATGTAACATTCGCCCGGAAGTACATATCGACGGAAAATAAAGCTAGGTTCTAAAACGACTGGCTAGCGTCTAAACACAGCTCTACATGCTTTTCACCGTCTCTGCCAAAGCCAGTTCTTTTGGTGGTTTTCCTAACATCGGGTCGACAAAAACGTTACTGCTTCTGGCTTCGGTCAAAACACTCAAATTAACTTTAATATATGGGAGAATAGTGAGCTCATGGCTGGGTCTCAGTATCCCCAGACCTGTGCCATTCTGCCAGATTGGCACAGCGCAACCTTCCGGCGACACGAAGAAAACGAATAAAGGCCTTAGTAACGAAAAATTACTGCGAAGGAGGGTCTAGATATTCCGAAAATTTGAATTTTTAAAATTTCGATTGACGGGTCAATATTTCTGAGAAATACAAAAAGACGGCCACTTTGACTGAAAAGGATGAAAAAACAGAACAACAACAAAGATAGTGAGAAACGGTCGTGCGGGAAGACGAGAAAAACGGAGTCTCTTATCGTGGCAATAACACACGATAAGATCCTTAGCAGTGGATATTAGTGGAGAAGGAAGCTTCAGTGGGGAAGAAATATTCCACGGAACCCTCCCGTGCCACAAATTGGGAGAGATAACAGCGTTATCTCGAGAAGATTACGGGAGCGGAGGCTTGGTCCCCCAGAGACTGTTGTATGTGAAGGGACTATATAGAACTGACTTTGTAGCTACTTGGATGTTGTGAAACTTTGAATTAACACCGGTATTATTTGATATTTTAGAATATGAGTAGCTAGAAAGAGGAAAGGGTCAATCCATCTCCAATGGATTTAATATAGAACTGTCACACAAAAACATATTAAAATAGGGTATTCGAGCCGTGTTTTTAATAGCAATCACGTAGTCTGAGGATCCGAGACTCAGCTATGTGGTTGTGTTCGCATGCAAACGAAAGCTGATCAAAAGTCGTTTGACTGATGGCCTAAGAATAGTAACTTTTTACTTAGCCCTAAACAGACCAGAAAATCAACTGGCAAGTTCGAGACGGTGAAAAACGAGTAGAATTAAGGTAACTGACGCCTGCCAGTCGTTAATATGTACTTTTTCTACGCTCCGTCGCTGTGTAGTATTTGGGCGAATGTTACATAGACGTTTTTATGGCGCTCCTGGGTGGGCCTGTCAAAGGCATAAGACCATCATGATCAGCAAGCGTTTCAGCGACGAACCCTCCGCTCCGGGCGTATGCCCGAGTTAGAGGCCTTAATGACCGTTATTGTACTAGGGGGAAGTTGCGTACCCTCCGTCTAGTACTATTTAGCTTTTTAACTTAGTTAACACCGAAAAATCCAGGGGCCGGAGGGTTAGGTGGGAAGTCATGAGCCCGCTTGTCCCAAGGTCCCGGGACCAAAAACAATTAAAGAGAAAGCGTAAAACCCAACAAAAATAGTGCATAACCAAGAAAAAGCCAAAAAATAAATTTATTTGAAGACAAAAAATACAAAAAACAGTAAAAAATCCAAAAAAGACCAAAAACAGTTAAAAAAACATAAAGTGACATTTCATATGTTTTTTCCGGACGAGATGTGATCTGACCTTCCTATTTGTTGTTGTTTCAGATTGATTTATATCCTTTCTGATAGAAAGATTGTGTGTTTTGGTGAAGGGTTGGATGCCCTCCCTTGAGTGTAATTTGAGTATTTAAGCACGTTAATGGTGATTTTGCCGGTGGGACGAGGACATCAGGGACAACATCCGCAACGACTGTTGGGTATCGTTGAAACAATTTTGGTATCGTTCGGGTACTATTTCATCAAAACTTAAGTGGTGGGGGGCACCATTGGCGCGGTCCGATTGTACCCTCCACCGATTACAAATTTCCGAGTTAAGGGTCTTAATTCGGCTATTTTGATGCAAAAGAGGGTATAGTCCTATTCATTAACGACTACTAATAGGTTATTATCCTTATTATTTATTACTTATCCCCTATTTAGACCCAAGAAACACCCAAATTTAGTCGAAAATTATCGATTTACGACCAAACCGTAGACCCCCAAATTTTTGGATATCCGAGCTTTTCCGAACAGCATAAAGCTTTTATATAGGGAGTAGCTACTTAGTTCGATCCCCCTAACTAAAGAAACCGCGTGAGAAAAGACTCAGTAAAAGTTAGAAAAAACCAAAATTTTTCGATCAAAATTTCGATAATTTTCTGAATTTTGTCAATCTGTTTTGGGGATCGAGTTTTTGAGTTTTTAGAGTTAGAGCAATAAAATTTTTTATGTTAGGAGCGTGCTAGCATAACGTGCTCGGCTGCCAGAAAAATTCTTGAGTAACCCTCCGATTAGCTCCTTGGATAGAAAATTTTTATCAAAACACCTTTTTATCCTGCTGGGAAGGTTGACCGTGTCAACCAACCTGGTTTTAAGCAAGTTACACCGCATTCAGAGGCTTTATTGCGGTAAATTAGCCCCTTTTTCCTGAGTTTTGCGGAACCCTCCGGAGTAACCCTACTGAGTGTCTTAAGCCCTTTAGCAACCCTCCTTAGTGGAGATTTTCCACGAGACCCTCCGAAGGAATTAAAAACAACACCCCATAGAAAATTTAACTTGTTTTGACGCTTTCTTAAGCTAGTTGAAGGCCCTTTTCAAAAACTGGAAAATTTTGGAAGAACCCTCCGAGGTTACCCTCCGGAGCATATTAAGCCTCTTGTTGACCCTACTTAGTGAGTTAAGGGGGACCCTCCGAAGTCTCTTGGGTGACTAAGGTACAATCCGAAGTAACCCTCCGGAGTAGGCTAAGTGTCTTAACAACCCTCCGAAGTAACCCTCCGGAGTGACTTAAACCTTCTAACAACCTTCCTTGTTACAAACTTGAGGAAACCTTCTGTGGCAATTTGGGAAACGGAAAATATCCATTTAATTAAGATCATATTAGGATATTAGGCGTGCTTATTAGAATCATAGGAGCTCATTTTGATCCGGAAACTCGTGATCAACTTTGGATTCTAGATCGGGTGTATCAAATGCACCCGAACAATTTTTTTTTATTGTGATTTTGGTCGTGTGGTTGCCTTGAGCTACTTAATAGGAAAGTTCGGGCAATCCGGGAACAAATAAAAGAAGACCTCGGTGAGTGTATTAGGCAAATACACACTCACTTGAGAAGAAAAGTTGTTCCCTGCTCTCGTGCACTTGGAGCAGTCCGGGTGTGGGGGAGCTTTTTCATAGACTTTGGAAATTTTCGGTCAGAGGTTGCCTTGAGCTACTTAGTAGGACAGCTCGAGCAATCGCAGGACACCTAAAAGAAGACCTCGTTGGGCGTATTAGGCCAATACACACCCACTTGAGAAGACTGTGTCCTGGGCTTTGTTCTTTCGGATCGTTCCGATTGAGGGAAGTCTTTTTCTCTAAGACTAAGTTTTATTGATCTGTTTCTGAATCATCACTGCTTTTTACCAAGGATTGTTTGATTTTAACAAAGCAGTGACTTGATAAGAGTGTGGCGGTAAATTGATACTGACGAAAGGTCGCTGTCACCTGTAGGACATTCTTATCTGATTATCAATTGTGTTTTGTGTGTTGATTATATCTTGTGAAAATTTTGTGATACTGTTATACTATACAACAGGGTTGAGTTAGCATTATATCAATACTGAGTAGGCCCTGTGTGTAACTTTAGCTGAGTCGCCAAGATTGTCATTGAGAAATCTAAGAGACATTTTTGATACTTACGAGATCGAAGAGGCAGCGTTAAGTAATTTAACTTGAACTTGTTTGCGGTACGTGTGCATCGCCATTAAATTATAGGAATATTGCTATTTGGCAAAAAGTATGCAGCGCAGGGACTCGCTAGGATCGACTACTAAGATTCCCGGGCTGAGCAAGGGAAGCACGCGAAAAATTAAAACTAGGCGTGGCCAGTCCTCGTTTAGCAGCGCTTCCGACGTGTTTGCTGAAAACGAATCGACTAAAGGTCAACCTGATCTTTCAGTGAGCGAAATGAAACTAAGGAGCGAGAAAAACCTCGATGGCGATCAAGGGCGGAGCGCCGAGGCCGGACCCGCGAGCGAGACGCTTGTGGACCCCTTTGACGAAGGAGAACGGACGCTTATTCGACCCGACTTTGAGCCGAGCGAGGACCTCGAGCGGGAGGAAGTTGAGAGGACGGAGGAGACCTCGGAGCGTTCCGAGGTTGAGCCGCGAGAGGAAGTGTTATTCAGGGGAATGTCCAAATCGGAGACCAAGAGTCATAGGTGGCGGAGAGAAAATTCACATTCAACTAATACCCACTCATCTCTGGCCAAGCAGAGCAACAACGCGATGATGTCGAGTATAAGCCCGAGTGAAGAACAACCAGGTTCGAAGGCCAAGAAGAGCTGGAAGTCTTTGTACAATGAGCGCATGACGTCACTACGAACTGAAGGTTTATCTTCCAGTTATGACTACCCGGAGATAACCCATCCGGATGTGAACTTCACACCGTGCCTAAGGAACGACATTAGCAGGAAGGCGTCGTCCGCCTCGCCGACCAGGCCCATGTCAGATGGGATAACGATGGGAGCGTCATCAACGTTCGACAGATTGATGACGTCGATGAGCAAGCAAAAAGGCGGTGCATCATCAAGTACCAGGCTGCAACCGCAGCTGACCTCATCTTCTCTGGGGCTAACCCCGTCATTTGGGGCCACTGGCAATATAAGTGAGA